AGGTGAACATATGATGGTTCGACATCCTGATATTAGTATATGCCATACGTGCATAAATAGTCGCAAACATTTAAGCCCAATTTTTCATTCACAAGTTTAATTAGTAACGTAAGAGAATAACTTTTGTATTTAGAAATATGATGTTTTACATGAATGATCGACTTGTTCAAATCGAACTTATCATGGTAAACGAAGAAACAGACACTTACCTTTATCCAACAAATTAAATTTATTATTCCCTAAAAAAAACCGGCGAAAAGGAAAAACTTTTATTTCGCGTAAAAGAAAACCTTTCAATTGTTTCGACAGTCTCCTCGGAGTTGAAGAAATACCGATGCAATTAAAAATAATAGAATGAAGAAAATTCTCGCTTTTAAACAAAATTGCTGAAATACAAAAATGACTTCCGAGTATCCTATCTGCTTTGAGCAGAAAACAAAGTTGCTGATGAGAATTCGCCATGAACAAGAAAAAAACCCATCCTTTTTACAAAATTTGGATCCATTTTTCCTTAAACTTAAATCCCAAACAAAGTTTCGATTAGACAAATTCCCTTGTCCACTATGTCGACAAGATGTCCATGTGATAAATTGGCAAAAAATATTTTGCCATCAGTGCAATGCATTAATTTAAAATAATAAAAGCCATCTTAAGCTCAAATCTTATGTTTAGGCGAGCATCTGATCAGATTAATCATTTTTACACTTATTCCAAGAAGGAAACCCTTTTTTGTCGATGAATATATCAAACTTGCTTAGTCTCCCTCTTACTATCTACTTCAATCCATTTTCATGGTTTTTCTAAAAACTGATAATTCAATCCTTCAACATACATGCCCAATATGTTATGAACAAAAACTGACTTTCAAAAAATGACGTTATAACCTGCCACATCATCTTACCCATCTTGATTGCACAGACTGTGAAGAATTATTGAAGAAAATTTTGCCCAATGTGGACAAATTCTTTGTCCCATTTGTCGTACACCAGAAAACATGTTGTCCTTTTCTTATTACTCCCCATGCAATATATGCCACGAATCAAAACCTGCCACATAATTCCTACCCATCTTGTTTGCACAGACTGCGAAGAGTTAATGAAGAAAATTTTGCCCAATATTGGCAAATACTTTGTCACATTTGTCGTACACCAGAAAACATGTTGTCCTTTTATGATTACCCCCATGCGATATATGCCATAAAATGACAAAAAGTACACAAGTTGATCCCAAACCATTTACATTAAAAGTTATCGACATTTAACGGATACTCATTCAAAACAAAAAATTTGCAGCAAATGCTCACCGCCATCAGCAACAAATTGCCCCTACTGCAAAACTGAATATGATTTTTCCGACCCATGGAATTAAACCTTTCTACAGCAGATTTAAGTAAGTTATTACGTTTCTTTTACACAGTTTTGTATCTTTCTATCTAAGCTCTATTACTTGGTTATGCACCACCTGAATTACTGTTTGGAAAGTCTTTTCTAAGCAGAAACAATGACAAACAACAACAGAAAACTTTGTAAGCACAGAAAAACAACAGAAAGCAAGTTGAACAAACTGGTGTAAAAAAACTCCTTTAAAATTTAGAAAAGGAGTACGACCCAGTACTAAACTGGAATTGCCTAAAGTGAAACCCGGCAATAGAACCGGCGAACAGATTCAGGGCTTTACACAAAAGGCAAATAAGAAATCAAAAAAAGAACATCAGTTAAGCCTCTCTATGCCTAGACGATGGCCTGCCAAAGGAAGCAGGCAAATTCCCAAAAGTGACAGAACGGTTGAGAATTCAGAAAGATCGTGACGACCCTGAAGTATTCATTGAAGCCGGAATTTAACAAGTGGAAGCTTCAGGGGGCGTTTCAGGCTACAAACATCGCCACGGGATATTCAACCATCCTGTCCTCTAAGAAACAACTCGGGAAGGTGTATTTTTCAATTTGCCCTCAAAAAAACTCATTCAATTGAAAGAAAAAACTCCCAAGCAGTAGCTCATAAAACTGGGAGAGACGTCTTTGCTCGTTCCATTTAGTGTGGAACAACGGCGTTCCCGGAACACGAAAACGAGCAAGACGTGGACAGGCTAACAAAGGCATTGGAAAGAATGCTATTGAAGAACAAACGCAAACAAAGGGCAAAAAAAGAGTTAAAAAAGCAACTAGAGGTAGCGGAAAAGAAAAAAGAAAGGTCCTAAGAGACTATAATGTGGCTTTAGAAAAGAAACTTGAAAACATTGCCTGAATAACACCTTGAGCGTTATAAACTTTGTTAATTTTTAACCTCATTCTAATCTTTAACACGTTGATTTTTAATTATATTCATGCTTTAAGCAATGCCCATTTTAAGGATTGAACTCACAACTGTTCGTCGGAAAAAGGGGCGAGGTGTAGTATTAGAAATGCTACACTTATATGAAAGACTTTTGTTTTAATTTTTTACATAAGAGCCGAGTGGACTCTTTTCTATTTTAAAATTATTCACACCTCTAGATAAGAATGCCTTTTTTAATTAATTTTTGATTCAGATTCCAACTGAACAACTTAACTTAAAACTTTAAAAGTCAAATCCAAATATCTAATTTTTGAATTCTGAACAAATTTTTTTTGTCTTACTTTTTTTAACACTGGTAAAAGGCAAAGATTTTTAATAAAGTTTAACTGATGATCGAAGGAACTGAGTATTTACCCACGGCGCCACTCAGACGGAGTGTGTCAATTGTTTTCGCTTTGAATATAGACGAATCCCCCGCTGCTCTGAATTTTAAAGTAGTTAAAGCAAGTGGAAATATTGTGTGTTCCCACTGTTAAACAAATATGGTTTTTATATTATAGTAACAATAAAATACAAACGTCAATCTCCTGATTAAACGGAGGATAAGAGATAAAAAGAGGACTGAAGTCTAATAGCAGGTGCAGAGAAAATCAAACTATAATTGTTTTGGATGAGCCTGCCTGCAATTTTCAGTGTCTTTAAGTTCTTAAGCTGAAACGGACGGCTAAAATACTTTCAGTTTTCTTCTAACTATTCTTCCTAAAAGTTTCTTAAATTCTTTTAGAGTAAATGTTCGCATTAAAAAGAGTCACTCCGAACCTAAACAAATTTAAATAAGAAAATTTGTGAGTCAAATTTAACGGACCGAAAGGAAAAGGAAAGGCCACCACCCTCGCATCGACAATACGCCAACTGACAGTGAGGATTAGACAGTGTACTTTTTCCCGGCAACAATTCGACAACAACTTCTCCACCCATCCTCCCCGCTACTTTCCAACGAATATTGTAACGAATAAAATGCAACAATTTATTAAAATAAACATCCCCTCCTATTGGTAAAAGTTAACAATAGATGAACAGTTGTGCATAACACTTAACCTTTTCTATTTAATCATCCTTTGTAAATTATCTGTTTATATAACTATCATTCTAGCTTAAGATTCATAACGACTATGATCTATGATAATTCAACCGAGACTTATATTTTTAGTTACTAATTGGAACAAAGGATATCAATCGACCCCATCGTTTCTTTTAGTAAAGTGGTAATAGTAACTAACTTTATTTCAGCCAAACAAAGACGGAAAATTGTGATCCGACTTGGCGATTTCTCAGAACAGCGACCTAGAGTTCGGAAGTATCGAGGCTACGCTATAGTACACGAGGGGTATGATCCCAACTCACATCATATAAATGACATCGCTGTAGTCAAATTGAGGTCACGTCTTCGAGGACCTGTGAAAACATTACGCTTATGCAAGGATGATTACAGTTACAGAACAAGGTCGTTTTACGGTTCCAAACAGTCTCCCGTTCTTCAAAAAAAATGAGCCGTGGCGTTTTTTAAGGTCGACCAATTTGGTTTTCCAAGCTCTTTGAGTATACTAAAAAGACTTATTTTGTCATAATTTTTCTGCGCCGCAGGCAAACGTAAAAAAACAGGCTAAAATGACGTTTTGAGCACTTTTTAATAATATATGTGACCAAAAAAACTGCGTTCTTTTGGCGCGCGCTCCCCCTCAATTTAAGTTATATTGGCGCCAAAGGCGCCCTTATAACATTTTTGTCAAAAATGGATCTCAAAGGGTGGACTCTTTGGAAAAAATTGGCAACCAGAATTGAAGCCCCCTCTGCAATGATGTGATGAAATATGTGACAAAACAAGCAGTCAAAAAAGCAAATAAAAATGGTTGATTAAATGAAAGTGAAAAACCAACTTCAACTTCAAGTGAAAAACCAACATCAAATTATAAAAGTTGTGTAGCTATTGCTAGTAAATAGTTGGCCCTACGTTGGGAAAAATTTAATACGAATGTAGCATATCTTTCTTGAACCCCCTGCAAATTGTGTGCTCCATAAAAGAAAAGTATACTGGGGTGAAGCTATAGTTTTTGCTACTAGACTGGCAAGGGCTTTAACGGGGAAACATCCCAGATAAACATTTTTTCAAAAAACTGATTTTTTTTTGACGGGAGGTTTGAGAACAGGTATCCGTTGGCTGTGTGTGGTTTGGGTAAGAGTGATCGTGATTATGGCAGTGAACTTGCTGAAGTCTTGCAAGAAGTGGTGCTCCGAGAAACAAAAAAGAGAAGATGTCCATTGAAAAAATGGAACCCACAAAAGCAGTTTTGTCTGACGGGGAGAAATAAAGGATAGTTTTGGCTACTTTAACTATAAGCTATCTAACGCTTGGGCCCTTTCAACTTTGCTATCTTTGTATACTATCCCAATTTTTTTTCTTCAAATAAGCATTGCAAATGTATCTCGATGCCAACTCTGAATACATTTTGTTTCTTGAGTAACTATGATCTTACTTGACATTAGGGCCAATAAATGTTTTCAGAACTTTGCTAGCCAGTGTGACACTTAATCCAACTCTAATTAGAGTTCTGACTGGAAAAATGGCTAGCGAGTACCAATGAGTTTCAATAACTTTCGGAATGATGCTTGCTTGTATCAAACCAAACATGTAACTGAAAAAGTATCCAAAGTTATCCCTTTAATAGACAGTTGTGGTGGGGACTCAGGCGGACCTGTCTACCCTCTTCGAAGAGGACGACCTCTTTGTCTGTATGGGGTTGTGAGCTACGGCAGTGTTACATGCAGTGGCTATGGTATATACACTAGAGTGTCAGCTTATCTAGACTGGATCAGGCGTCGAGTGTAGAAAGTTGTGATAAAGTTCACTTCTAAAAAAAAACCATTCTGCTATATACCTAGACAATTGTTGCTTCTATGTTTCTTCTGGTTTAAAATTGGAAAAATTCTGAGTGTAAAAAAGGAAAAAAGACTCCTACAGCAATATGAAATCGACATGTCTTGAACCAAGACAACCATGCTTATAACACATATTGAGCCCAAATTTTTGAACGAGACAGGCACTTAGACTCGGCGTTATATAAATTTTACTGTAGTTTTGAAACTGTAATTGATTTTTGATTGCCTTTTGTTTAAGTTTGATTCTACCAAATTAATTGTTTATTACTAGTAAAGGTCATGCGGGCTTTTATATCAGAGAAAGGTTGAAATCATTTCTACTTTTACCCGATTTTAACATTGTCATAATGTTGTAATGAAAATTTCAGTTGCGATCAATTTCCTTTTGTTCTTCTTTTTTTAATCGTACCATTTTTTTTAAAATAATTGTATTAATCAATTTTTCAATATTATTCAAAATTTTTATCAAAAGCTAAAAGCTGTTCGGCAGACAATGAAAGGCATTCGAAATTATTAGGGCTTTATCTTGATACGAGAAGTCTTGTGTATATTGACCATAACATTTTGTTTTATTACATTTAATTACTTGAGTCAGTCTATGTCAATCGTGATTGGTCAGCACAAAAATAATTTGAGTGTCAAGACAAATTGCCCTGTTTTTCACAAACAAATGGAGAAAAATTCTCATAACTGATGTTTAAGAATAATGAACGTGGTGAGTACTCTTATATAGGTCTTGTGGTTTTTTTTTTTCAGAAAAAAGTCTTAAAAATTGTTCCCGCTCAGTTTTTCTTTTTCGCGGTTTGACTGGCGATTTCTTTTTAGGCTAAATGCATTATCATTGTTAAAAGGAAGGCAAACTCCACTATCGAACAGCAAAAATGTAAAGGTCACAAAAAACGTGATCAACTTTTGGTTTCGAAAATTGAAATTAATTGACAGACTTCCCAGCGAAATATAAGTTCTACGTATTGATCCAGTTTTCTCAACTTGAGTTAATGTAAACAAAAAAGAGTCCAATATAAGTTATTCCACAATTTCAAAGAGTTTTAAGGCAAATATTTTCGAAATTCAAAAGTTATAGACTTTTGAAAAAACAAGTCAGTTTTCTTTCATTTTCCTTTATTCGGTGTTGGGTTTCCAAAACTATGATCCAAAAAACTGCTTGCAAATACTAAATTGTGACATCCATTGATTTAGTTAACCAATGTTTTAAGACTTGTTTGTGGATTCCGATGACAATGCTTAAGTCCTTGCTTTTAAATTCCGCATGTTCATATGCAAGTTCAGTAATAAACAAATTTCTGAATTCCTTTACAGTTTGCGGATTCCGCTTACATTTGCGGATTCCACTTACATTTTGCCAAATCTACTAACAGTTGCGGAATCCAGAACAACTAGCTATATTTGCTTGTTACGCAATCCGCAACAAATTAAGTGTGCAGACAAAATTTATGTTACCAGTATATTTACACGGAATCCAAGTAAATCTTGTAAGTGGAACCCACTTACATTTTGGAACATGTTTAAATACTTGTCTCTGGAATCCAGGAACAAACAAAAACAAAAATGTGCACCTATCCAGTGCACAGTTTGGCCTCTTAATGGTCATGGTTTCTTGATAAATGAAGAAATGTTTTTCATTGCGGACCGATTAACAACTGAAAAAAAATTAATCCAGTTTTTCAATCTACCTCACCACAATTATTGATTACCGATATAGGATTTTCTAGGGGAAGGGGAGGGGGGTGGGAAGAGGCGGGTTCTCAAAAAACTTTCGAAAATTTTGCTTTGCTTTAGTGCGACACCAAATTGATTTTCAGAGCTCTCCTAAGGTGCCTCTAGAAAATTTTTAGCTGCCGTCACTAAAACTGCATATCTCAGAATTGTACAAATGGGGACCTTTTGGGTTGGCAGAAGCTCGAATCCCTGAGAGGGGGGAGAAACTTCTGCCCCTCTAAATCCGCCATTGTTACCGTTTAGCCCATTTTTCTTTCTAGTGCTAGAAATAATTTTCACATTTAAGAAATATACTTAACGTTTTCCTTATAAAAAATAAGAACGTTTATAAATTGTGTCTGATAGTTTTTGGGTTTTGTTCTTTTTTATAAAAAAAATTTCACTAATTAATATAAGGTTCACTTGAAAATATTTACAATTTGAGCTTTAGTTTGCATTGTTTGCGAGGGTACAAAAGTATGACTATAGTTACTCAAAACTCGTTCGTCTCGCCTTTGGCTTTAAAAGTTTTTTGCATCGAAGTCTAAACTCGTTAGTATATGACACTCATTGAAAATTTTCATTGTTCAATGCTAACTATTGAAAGGTATAAATTTTAAAACGTTTGAATTTAAAACTTTTTGCAAAGATTTTTGCTGTGAGATTTCATGTGCAAAAGGTTTAAATTCTCGGAAGTTGTCTATTGTGCAACTTAAATTAGGGATAATTTTGTTTTTCTGTCTCTATATATTTTTTTAAACATAGAACTAGAAAAAATTAAATAAAAAATGACTACAAAACTTGGTCAATATAGTGCTAAACGTTGGGTCAAGTAGGGAACTGGTATGACCACCCGGGATGACCAAAAATACTAGTCATACAATTTCCATATATGGAAAAATGCTAGTCATACACTTTCCATACAATTCCATACGTACAGAAAATTGCATGATTAGTATTCTTTCATATATGGAAATTGTATGACTAGCAATTTTCCATAAACCAAAAATATTAATTTTTTACATTTTAGTTTCTCAAAAATTTTTGGTTGTGTTCGTACCGAACACAAATGACATAAACCTTTATTACTCAAACGTAGTAACCAACGGTTTGGCCGTCTCGCATTAAAAATACATTGGAAACAGCGTGATATATGCTACTTCTTTCTCAGACAAATAATATAACGAAAATAATGAACTTTTAAGTTTTGGCAATAATTTTTAAAGATGATTATTTCTAAAATTTGAATTTTTAAATTACCAGACATTGATCAAGGCATACAAAAACATGTCATACAAAAGAAAGAGGAGTTTTTAGCGTTTTTGAAAAAAGTTATGAAGAGAAAAGGAAAAAAAAATCCGATATTAGTATATACAGGACTACGTTATACACACAAAAAATTAAATTTTGCATGCAAATTTTTTTTTTCAAAAAATGTTTGTTTGAATACGAAAATCATTTTGCGGTTGGAAAAAACACAAAAAAATTGTTTGGGGCAATTTCAAAAATACTGTCGTTGCCATCAAAAATACTGTCGTTGCCATCGTTGCAATTTTTGTCGTTGCCATCAAAAAAATGCTAGTCATACAATTCCGATTTATGGAAATTGTATGACAAGTGTTTTTTTTTTCAGAAAACAAAAATAAAAAAATAAGTCAAAGTTTGCAGTCGTAGCAGCCCAAAAAACGCTTAAATGGTTTGCCAGCAGTTGAATTGATTGTTCGAGCTTTTTTTCGCAAAAAAATTTTTTTTAAAAAAATCTGTTTATACAATCTCCATATATGGAAATTGTATGGCTAGCATTTTTTTCTTCATACCATTTTTTTTTCCTTTTTTCTATGAAGAGATACCAATTTCGATACCAAAACAACTATAAAATACTTTTAAAATTCGATTTAACTCATTTTGCAATAATGTATGAAATTTGTCTGACTAGCATTTTTCCATAGACTAAGTGTATGAAATTGTATGATTAGCATTTTCGGTCTATGGAGGTTAACCCGGGCAAGTAGCTTCTCTCATTTGAAATGGAGTTGTTTGTCATACTTTCACAATCAAAATTCGCATAAATTATTCCAAATGATGGCCAAAATGGCAACTTTTTTGCCTTCAGAACGTTACAAAATTGAGCTGCAAATAAAAAAAATCATTAATTGATTTGACGAAGTCGATTTCTTGATTTCGGTAAAAACGTTATATTGTGCTTCACTTATTCATTTTTTAGGGTTTTGATCTGAATTTTTTACCCGCAAGCTAAGTCAAACTCAATTTATTCACAGTTTCATCTAATAACAAGTTATTCGACACAATTGAGTTGAAAATGGTTTAAAAAAGCATGAAATATCCCAAGTTGGACAAATTAGCAAATTTCAAACCCCATTTCTTATTAAAAGTTATGGCAGTTCAAGGGCCTGTGCAATAATTTTTCAAGGAGAGACTTTTTTTTAATCAATTTTGGAATTTGTTTTCAACGTTTTTTCATAGAAAGAACAAATTGGTTTTCTGGCCAACCCCAAAGCCCTATAATTTCTATTTAAAATTATTATTAGGAGCAAACTGTTGCCTTCAAAATAGAATGTTTTGTTTTGTTGCTCTAGCTTACGTTTGCGCATTGAAGGTCATAATTTGCACAAATAGGCAACTTAGACACCCTATAAATTAACCAAAAAAAATCTAGTTCAAGAATGACTTTGATTTTTTGCTCAAGATACGATTTTTTAAAAAAGTTTTTCAGGAAAAAAGGCTTGCTAGCAGGCAAATTGTTTCGGAGAAAAAATTAGAATTACAAAAAACTGCTTGAACTCAAAAGAACGATCATTTTATTTGAAAAGCAAAAAAAGCCACTCCAAACATTTAAATATCGTCATTTTTTCTTAAAGTCGGAACAAAAAAGAAGAATCACAGTCATTTTCTTGAGGAATATCCGGCCACCGAAGATATCTGAAACAACTTCTCTCATTTTTTTTAACCTCATACAACAGACGGCCTTTTTTTGTGTTGTGTTTCGCCTATATGCTGTATCAGGGGTACTAGTGTTATATAAGGATTTAAAAAAAAACTCATTTCAAGCCTCGAGGGAAATACATGAAAATAATTGAATCCCATTTTTGCATTGTAATCGAAAATGAACTTCCTTCAAAATAATCTTTTCGTAAATTTTGACGCAATTTTATTGAAGGAAATTCATTTTTGAATACATTGCAGAAATGGGATTCAATTATTTTCACGTAT